AAAAATGATATACTATTTTTCTCGTTTATATGGTAGTAATGACGTTATTACTATTTCATAGTATAAAGCGTAACGTAAAAAATCATCATGCATTCAATTATATACTTTAAAATAATAATTTTTAGTGAATGCATTTCTGTGTGAATTACAAATTTCATCTAAATATTAATTTTTGACATATGTATTTTAAGTCATGCATTCAATTATACAGGGTGAGTCTTAAATAAGTGCAAATATTTTCAGGGCTGGTAGATCTCGATAAAAGAAACATATTTTCTCTTTACCATTTTTCAGATAAGTCCAAAATAACCGAGTTATTTAAGTTTGAAAATTAAAAAAATGATTTTTTTTGAAAAAAATTTGAGTCACCGGATTTTTTCTGTATTTGCATCCCTTTTAGTGCCGTAACCATGGAGTAAAGCCGTAACTATGGTAATATCAGAGAATAAGAAATTATACCGTGGGAAAATTTGCGGTGAACAGGCAGTTCAGGCCACAGGCAGTTGGTATGTTCCTAATTTGTTGGTATGTTCCTAATTTGTAATTGTATCCTAATATGACATAAATTAGGATTGATTGACGTATTCAATTGTTTTCGGTCACTTCCTGTTTTACCGGAAATGACTACAACTTTTGATTTTTAAATGGCACCCTCGGTATTTTTTTACTTTATTCCATAGAAAATAGCACTCTGAATAGAATGACATATCATATGTCAACTTTTGACATTTTCGCATATTGTTTATTTGAAATTATAACTTGAGGTTCGTAACGAAAATTTTTTTTTTTGACTCGAAATACCAAGTGTGTGGTATCAAATTGTTCGTAAAAAAATGCTTTTTGCAAATATGCTATTTTAATGATTAAGAATTAGTGTTTTTAACATAGCAATAGCACTCCAGATTGAAATTTAAAATACAATTTTATATTAAGCGAGAATGTCAAAAGTTGACATATGATATGTCATTCTATTTAGAATGTAATTTTGTATTGAATAAAGTAAAAAAATACCGAGGGTGCCATTTAAAAATCAAAAGTTATAATTATTTCCGGTGAAACAGGAACTGACCAAAAACAATTGAATACGTCAATCAATCTTAATTTATGTCATATACTAACATACCAAATCTCGTTTTTTATCTAAAAAAATAAAAAAGTTATAGGGGGGCCACTTTTGAGACGCACCCGGTATAATGCTCGGTATAATGTCAAGGTAATATAGTCTATTCATGTCAAATAAAATTTTAGTCACGTGATTAATCTTGACCGGCACAGCGCAGCGTTGCTCACTTTTACATACTTTCTTTTAATCAAAATATTCTAGGAAACAAAAATAAATTAATTGAAAAATATAGTGTGTAAAGAATAAAACGTTGGAATAATTTGTATTTTAATTTAATATAACTTTATAAATAAATAAATAAAATATCCTAAAATACCTTATTTCAAAAAGTACAATTCGATGGAAAAAGAAAAAAAAACAGCTGGGGAATGACAATCGATGATGATTTTGGAGAGGTCAAGCTCTAGACGATATTTTCTTGGCCCGTACTCTTTTTTATTTTTTAATGACGCTTATTGCCAGTTGCCTTATAAGATTGTAATTTATTTTTACATTGAGTAAAATTATTTTTAAATGGTGTCGTTTAAAATTGGAGAAAAAGAAACTGGAAATAGATTTGTGTGTCTGGTCATCATTTTTTAATCTTTTTATATATTGATTGTCATTTCCCATATCGATTGTCATTTGACGCCGCTTTTCTTCGGTCATACGGTATTATTCACATACTCTTAGTTTTTTTCCATAATGTTTAAAAAGAATCGGTTTTTATATGTTCTAAGCTACTACAGATTCAGTATCTCTTTTTGTTTGGAATGTATGAAGTCGTTTGATTTATCTCTAAGGATTTATCACTCTATATTATATATTTCTATGAACACATTTTTTATAATTAATCATTATATTAATAATTTAATTAATCCATTTTTCATTGTTTTTTTCCTCCGCATTCTGTCTATTACGGGTGTAGATAAATTATACTTGATATATCTTATCTATTTCATTAGTAATTTACATAAAGTGTGGGCGATAGTATTTGTAACAGTGGAATTTTGACCATTCTTAAACAATATCTTCAATGAAAAACAACAGTATTTTTTTATTCTAAATTAAACATATATTTGTCTTTTCATGGCATGCTAGATTTATGACATTGCTATTTTGCGTCCCATGTTCCATAGGTGTTGGTTAACCTTATCCTAAAAATTTCCGTTTGAATAATATTCGATTTTTTTTTAAAACGGGCATTTTTAAAAGTATAGCCGTTAGAAACCTGTACCTTTTTGTCTGAATCGATAGGTATTTTAAGAACAAAAAAGAAGAATGGTTGTAAATGGCCTCTCTAATTTTATTCATTTATACCGATGGTAGTCATAAACATAATAAGTATAAAAATGTAAGGGGATGGGTCCCCATGGGTTGAGGCGGAAATATGGCACTTTTTTCTAGCGGAAATATTGCACAAACTCGCGAACTTCCTCTACTCCGTTTACCTAGGTGAAGCACAGATGAAACATTTATGAAACCTCGCCCTAATGTCTACAATTTACCAAACAGTTATGTCAATGCTATGCGATTACTAGTCTTTCTTACGTTATTAACAATATTTATACTCAAAACTTGTTAAAAATAAAACAAGCCATTTTCAATAGAACTTTTTTTTAAAACATGAGCCAACAATAAGTAAACATTAAATAGTTAAACATGTTTATCGCTTTCACAAATATTTCTTTTACATAAATATTTCTTCGACTTCTTTTCTTTACTAACGAGAGGGAGTAGTGAAAAACACAGATTAACAATTTTTTAAAGCATTGTGGCGATACACAAACATTTTTTAGATTTTGAGTTTGGTATGTAAAAAGAGGACTTTTTCAATATATAAGAGAAAAGAGGACAGTGAGATCAAAAAGAGGACTGTCCTCTGGAATAGAGGACGGTTGTTGGCAACCCTATATAAGTCTGACGGGGCTTTCGTGATTGTCAATGACAGTTAGACATGTATTTTCTATGAACTTATAGTATTATTTATCATGTGACTATCATTTCAAATCCTGGAAAATAAGAGCAAAAATGTTGTAATTTTTGCAATTTTCAAGATGCCGCCAGATTCATTTACCAATTCCGTAAATCAGCCAGACTTGCTCAAATGATACGTTAAATATCAAGCATGATAAAATAAGGGTTACTGATTTCAAAAAATGTGTCAAATTTTTGACTCCGCAAATTTTCAGCCAGACTGAATTTCCTCCACTTGGGATGTACCTGTCTATTATTTCCATTAATAAAATGATTGACACTAAATATTAAATACTTATGAGTGGGAGTTATAAGTGGACTAGTAGAATAGTAATGTCTATATTTTATCTGGCAAACCCATCCGAAAATTTTAGCCACACTTCCAAATTGTTATTTTATATCACCATCCAGAATAAACATATTCACCGCCTGGGAAAATAAGTGCAAAAAATACTCCTGGACCAAAACAAAGTGGCATTATATAAAAAATTCTTAGGTTAACTACAAAAGTCTAGAAAATTTAATATTAGGTATATCTCGGATTATAAAATTAAAATCAAAAATATAAATAAAATTTATAATAATTAATAAACACAAAATTATAATAACACCAAAATTTAATTTTCAATAACTAAAATTTTAATTATATTCAGTCAGTTTTTATTACCATATAATTTTATCGTATTAAAAAAAATTCTTTCAAGGAAATTTTCTATAAAAATACTTTGCCGGAATCGACAAAACAAGAATCAAAATATTCGTTCTGACGTTTTTTTGGCTGTCAAATTCTTTTTAGAAAAACAAACAAAAACCTTCTGAATTCCTATACGGTTCACAACGATGAAGTAATACGAATATTAATAATAATAATGTGTGCCACGCCACGCCTATTTGACAGACACATTTCACTTCCTATCTTGAATTACCCGTCATCTTTATTAATTACAATCAGGGTTGGATTCGTAGTAAATTAATAATATAAAATACAGCTGAATAATGTAAATATAAGTAATAGAATAACACAGACTTTTTGCGCTTTTTCAACTGCGTGAGGTTTCCAAACATTGATGTATAGAATGTTCAGTTATCGTTCAATGTTACGTCATATATTGTCGAACTCTCTCGAATTGCTAACCAGATGAAATAGATTGGTGACGTCATTACGGCATTCCGTAAATTACTACATATTCCATTTAGTAATTGTCATTGTCATTTGATTTGGGGTTATAAGTTTATTGACGGACATCGATTAATGTCAAAATTAAAATTTGATTATGGTTGTAAAACAACATTTTTTTTTATCACAAAAATGCCTCAGAGATTTTACCAAAATTACCATTTTTACCAATTGCTAAGCTTATAAACTATTTTTCTCTGGTAGAACACTCTTGCCCGTGGACATCGTATATGAACTAAGTACAATGCAAAGGCATAATATTCCTATGTAAAATACAAATTGATAGCGTTTGTAAATAATATAGCGAGTTGCTGATGGTTTTAGAAATAGGAATTTCAACAGTCCTAAGGATTGGAATTAAAAGGACTGTAACTGATGAAGAGTTCAAGAAAAAATGAATAAATGCCGAAAAAAACGGAACTCACTCAATCAATAATATAGGAACGAGTATAGGAACGTATTTAAATGTTTTAAATAATATGATATGAATGGTGCTCGGTGGCGTAGAGGTACAGGCTCTCGTCTACCAATCTGAAGGTAGTGGGTTCGATTCCCACACCCGTCATTTCATCAGTTATAAAAATAGTTTGGGTACCTAGGTCGACTCAAATGAGTACTTGGGATTCACAATCCTGAGGTAATAATAGGCGGTTGAAGCGTAGTGCTAGCCACATTACCTTCCTTGTTACCGAACGGCTCTAGTATGGCAAGCTGTACCTTGCTACTCCCAAGGCGTTAAACGCTATATACGGGAGCTATTATTATTATAAATAATATGAACTGATCTCAGACACACCCTAAAACTCATATGACAAATAATGGTGACGTAACAGTGAACGATGGCTGAACAGTCTTTATATACTTTTAATATGGCTTTCTAATTATTGTACCATTAACCTCGAGGTACATGGCACACGAGTCATAAAAATACCGATTCAAAATATGATAAAATTCGGGGACAAAAGTGTATACGTTAGAATTAAATTTTAAATTGATATATTAAAAAAAAGTTTAATTATTATATACACTAAGAATAAGTTAAAAAGTTTGAATTAGTTATATTGCCACAAAAAAACAATTTACTAATAAGCACTAAAACATACATATCACGTAATATACAAAAAAGTAATGAAATATAATATAACAAAATACAAATGCAATCACTCTTTGACAGTTTAAAATACTAGAAATTAAAATTGTTTGAATACTTTAGTATAATATATTAATTTACTATGGGTACAATATATGCAAAAGTGAATGTGGCAAAGCCAGAAATAGATACTTAATATTAAGATATCATTAACCCATCCTTGATTATTGTGTACTTTTCGCAAATGCACCATTTATAGAAACACGCCCTAAAAATGACTTAATATTTTCACAGCTTCAAGTTCAAATAGTTCTCCCTTTCTGTTACTCTTAGTCAAGGAAATAATTCCCGGAGATTTAGGGGGCAAGGCTATTGATTTATGTATAAAAAGATTTTGATTGTCGAGTATCAGCATCATTTGATCAGTACACGAAATCAAATAAAGAACCATGAACTCCTTCGTAAGTATATTTTATATTAATACAGTATAATTACTATTAAAAAATACTATTGGATAAGAGTAAATTCTATTTTAATTTTCACTTTTTTTTTTATTTTATTTGTGAATAGATATTTTATGAAATTCTGCGTACTAGTGACATCTGACAATTGTTAATGATTATTAAAGTTTATATAGATACTTATTTATACAACTTACTAAAACATTTAAGTTTGTAGATTTTACATTTAATTATTAAAATAATTGTTTTTATTTAAACAATATTTTAATACATATTATAACATTTATTTATTCATTAAACGATTAGAACCAAAGTGGGACAAATTTAAAATCAAAATACTATTTTATCTCCAAAATGATGTTCTAGAAATATGATTTTTCTGTATTCTAGGAATTAGACTATAATATTGAAGAATAAATATGGAGAACAAAATGATACATAATTAAAATAGTAATACTATTTCATTAATTTTATTTCATTTTTATTTATAGGCTGTCGTTGCTTTCTTTGCCTGCGTGGCTGCCTGCAGTGCCGGTTTGGTAGGTCCATCCGCCCACATCCTGCAAGGACCCAGCAGCAAAACCACCCTCGTAGGGCCTGAAGGCAGTGTAATCTCCGCTCATGCCCCAGGAGGTCAAATCGTACACGAAGAGCACCCAGGATTCGTAGCTCACGCCGCACCAGTTTTCGCACACGCTGCTCCAGTTGTAGCTCACGCCGCCCCTGTAGTCCACGCCGCCCCAGCTCACTCTACCGTCGTAGCTCACTCTTCAGCCTATGAACACGACAGTGTTGTCGTAGCTGGACCTTCTGGAACTATCTCAACTGGACACGGAGCCCATGCCGCTCCCGTTGTAGCTCATGCCGCTCCCGCTGTAGCTTACGCTGCTCCAGTTGTAGCTCACGCTGCTCCAGTTGTAGCTTACTCTGCTCCAGTTGTTGCCCATTACGATGCTGACAACAACGGTTACGAAGGTCAATACGTACATGACCACAGCGAAACTTTGTATGACGATGGATCTTACAAACCTCATCATTATCATCATTAGGGGCCTATGCGTGTGTTATAAGTGAGGTTATTAGTGTCTAGTGTGAATTTTGGGTAAAGGAGATGGAAATACGTTATGTTTTACAAAAGGAATGGGTTTTAATAATCGATTCTGTAAATATGTATTATTTTGTTGATGAAATGAAAAATAAACCATACATTATTAACTATTGCAGTTTCATTACTCAACGCGCACAATACTTACATCCTATCAATAACTCATAACTTTACGAAATATCAATTAATGGGAATGACAAAAATATTCTTCTGAATTTTATATACTAAATTTTTTATCGAATTAAGAGTCAAAAAATAATAAAAATATATCTAAAAAGATTCTTTAAAACGTTTTATACGCAATATAAAACCTGTTCCCTAAGAATCTGGATAATATTAAAGACATGATATTCATAAAAGGAGCGATAGAAAAAAGTGACAATAAAAGTAATAAGTAAGATAGCTATTCAGTATATAATATGATGTTTTTCAAAAAATGCTTAAAATATAACTTTCATCTTTCTAGATTTTTAAATCCAGTATAAAAGAATATAGAGAGAATTTGAAAAGATATACAGTGTGGTCGACTAAGTATGCAGCATATGGGATTTTTATATTAGAAGCCCTATCCAAATGGCACTACTTTGAAAAGTTAGTGCATATAACCATATCAGTGGTATTCAGAATGAGTGCAAGTCAAACAACCTACAGGGTAGGCACAAAAATACGAAAATCTTTTAAGAGGAAAGTACGTTTACTTGTAAGAATATTGAAAAATGGCATTAGCAAAAGTTGTTTGAAATTGAAAGATAAGCCTAAATACAAAGTCGCAGCGTCTTATACGGAAAATGAAAATTTATCAGAAAATTTTAAAGCGTCCTCTTATATAGGCATATTTCTGATGTTCCTTGTATACTGGTATTGAAATTAACTAAAATTAGACAAGTGTTGTTTATTTTCCCATTGACTGAGCTAAGCCTTAAAATCTATAGAAGTTTTTTCAGATACTTTTTACTAATTCAAGCTCAATATGTGAAAAATAATTATACAAAACTTGCAGTTCATTCGTTTTTACCTGGAAACCCGCCAAACTTACATACGCTTTTTGGTCTACCTTGTATAGGTTGGTTGACTTGCAATCAGAAGAGTTTTGACTCGCTCGACAGAAGCAATATTAGGTAAATTTGAGATTATTAATTAATCAAACGCTACTCATTTTAAATGAAATGAAGGAATCTGTACTGGAAGGAATGAAAGGAGTGCCGTACTCTGCCTGGAATTCACAAGTAAAAGAGCACGGCAGAGAAAATCTTGATCACTATACCAAAGAATCCTATTATGCTGTTCTGAACTTTAATAAGAGAAAAATAATAATAACACAAATACTGCCTTCCTACCAAGGTCTGAAGTTTATCACACTTAAAACATTCATAACTGAAGAAGTTTTTGCTGCAGGTACTGAGGTTCATAGATTCGGCAGCTAGAGTTGATATGTTTGGCCAATATCTTTAGACGACGAGTTATACCATTCTTTGGTTTTGACTGTTCACTAGTTTGCTTGTTGTTGAAGATATTCGCCCAGGTACAGTTGGAAATTATTAGTACACACAATAAGGCCCTTATTGTCACACTAAGTCATACTAAACCAAAAACATCGGCACGAATGAATAGTAAACGATTGTATTTAGATTCAATTTTAAACTAGAAATTATTCACAACATAAATCGAATCCATTAATTACATACACATGTTATACAATATAATTCTCAGATGAAATAAAATAAGGAAAGGCCAACAGAAACACAAACAAAAATAAAATATATAACAACAGAATAATAAAATATATATGCTTTAGTTAACATTAATTAAATAATGAGAAAACATTTTTTTTTTCATTTTTTTCTTTAATAACATTCCTTGGTAGTCTAAAAGCAAATCAGCGCGGCTATAATTTTTTTATTATTCGTTTAATACTTCAACTCCTATCTGGTTTTTGCTCTTTTACTCTGACTCTATGTAGATCGAAAACAACAACAAACTGGTCTTGTACCAGTGGCGGAACTTTGTTAGTTATTCAGTATTCATTGGTGCTGGACCCCTATTTTTAATATAATGTGCACGTAGATTTGATCTGAGAAATCAGATTTTTGAAAAATCTGAATATTTCTTCTCAGAAGCCGAAATCTCAAAAAAGAGAATAATTTTTTTCGTAAATAACAACGGAGACTAGCTTATCAGTGGTTTTTTACTCAAACAAATTTGTGTAAACAACAAAATATAACGTTTCGGGTAGGGTTTCCAAACCGGGATCCCGGAATCCCGAAATCCAGGTATATCCCCGAAACCCCGATATTAAATCCCGGGATCACAAAAATCTCAAAAAATATAAATGCCCAATCTAAAAGGATTCTGCATTATTACACTTTAGTCTTTCAAATATCATATTTTATCTATACTATACTTTATAGCAGAACGAAAACTTATATTTTCATGTTTGCTATATTTAATTTTTTTTTCAACAAGAATTGCACTTTTTTATTACTAAATATGAATGTTACTTTGTTTTTAATATTTTAATAAAGCTCTTTTTTCATTTTTTTATATGTAGCTGCAATTTTAAATGTTAAGCATTTCCTTAGATTATATTTCTCATTGTGATAGTCAATCTCGGGATTATAGGTCCTTATCCCGGGATTTCAAAATGGGATCCCGATCACGAAAATTGGAAACCCTATTTTCGGAGGCTTTATCCTCCTATCGTCAGAAGCAAAAAACAAAACAATTTAAAATATCTAACTCCTTCGCCAACATTTTTTTTAGCACAGACCTATGGCACAGACGATAGAGATATGCCTTAATATAATTGTTGATGCCAGACATAATATAATTGTTGACGTTCTGATATTGACATTAGAAATGAAAAAAAGAAGAGTTACCTAATTAGGTAAGGTATTAATGAGAAATATACAGGGTCCGGCAATAGTGCGTCGGGCATCTGTAGCTCCTAGAAAAAAGGGGGGAATTTTGTTTAGGTGCAAACGTAAAGAATGTAGGTACTAGGATGTATTTCAGGAAAATATTTTAACTTCTACAGGGTGGCTCAAAAAGTGTGAGTGGATCGGGATTATTTTTTTTAAATGGAATACGCTGTATATTATTGCATTTTTGGCTTCCTTTCATATCACTTTATATAATCCTAAGATGTGAGTAAATGTATTTCGATAATTTCAGAGATATTAATTAAAAAATAACAATATATTTTTTTCAACCTTTAAAAAAATCGTTACAATACAAGAACTGTCCCGAAGTCAAAAATATAGATAGTCTATACTTACTTTGCTGCGAAGATCGTAATCATAATCATACAGGGTGTTCAAAATTCTACGCCAAACTTTCTAAAATATAATTTTTTTTTTGTTGTTTTACAAGGAACACCCTGTATATTATTATTTTATTAGACGTTAGAGAGTTAGAAAATGAACATTTTTTGTATTTAAAGTATTTCAAAATTTTTAATGGTTTTGCAGATACACGTAGTATTATTTCATATGGCTCTTTCAACGGTAAAATACAAGAGCAAAATCATTGGGTGGCTTTAATAAAAATTTACTGTAGAAAATGTCATATGAAATATAACACCAGGAATATGACACCATTAAAAATTTTGAAATACTCTAAATACAAAAAATATTCATTTTTTAATTCTCCATCTATTGAAAAATAATATACAGGGTGCCCCATAAAAAAACGAAGCAAAAGTATTTTATATTTTAGAAAGTTTGGCTTAGAATTTTGAACACCCTGTATGATTTACGATTATCATATTTATAGCAGAGTTAAGTACAGACAGTTTTTATTATTATTTTTTTTAAGAAAGGCTGCTGAAAAATATATATTTTTATTGATTTATTAATATCTCTAAAACTATTGAAATATATTTACTCATATTTAAGGATTATGTAAAGTCATCTGAAGGAAGCCAAAAATGCAATAATATACAGGATGTTCTATATAAAAAAATTATTCTGATCCACTTCACTTTTTTGAGGCAACCTATAACCTATAGAAGTTAAAATATGTTCCTGAAATATATCCTCGTACATATTTTGGTTTGATTTGGTTCCCAAGTTTTTTATTCTAAGAGCTACAGATGCCCGAAGCACTATTGCCAGACCCTGTAAAGATAAAAATGTAAAGATAGGTTTGCAATTTACACAGTGTATTTTTTAGTGTCCTTTCTATACGTCAATTTTTTTGAGAATTTTTTTGGATCTAGTTCTTCGCTCAAAGTCGTTGATGATTTTTTTCTTTAACTACAGTGTCGTAGCTATACACAGGGGGTTAAAATCTTCATATTTCCTCGAATTATTATAATTTTCTTTTGGTATATGAAATAAATGTTAAGATTATTGTTATGTGGTGTTTGAAAAATCAAAGAAGCGATAGCCATACATTACTAGTATCTGCAGAAATTGAAGAATTGTTTTCAGCTGAAGAAGATCCGATCGTATTTGAATAACCGCCGCCACTGGGGTGATCAATACGTGCATATATATCAAGGTACTACCGCTGCAAGTACTAAAGTGAAACTGGATTAAAATTTATGAGTTCGATAATCCGACAACGGGTGAGCGGACAGTGACACCGGCACCGCACAAGTCTCATCGCCCTACGTACTAGGTAGTACTACCATCGCGGTACCATCGCAAAAACAAGAGCAAAACGACGACAACTGTCCTACGCCTCCTAAAATTAGCCAAAGTCCGGGATCCGGGGGCCGTACCGAAGGACGACCACGGGGGCCTTATAAATAGGCTTCCTTGCAGATGGTCTGGACACAGTCAACCGAGTCCTGCTCAGTCCGCAAGTACAGCCATGAATTCCGTACCCGTAAGTACTGTTTTATTTATTGTCACTGTATATATCTTCTTAGAGTGATATATCTATTAGTATATATATATATCTATTTGTCACTGATTCTGCTTTGCAATAGTTATGATTTTTAATTATGATATTTTGTCTAAATTAATTCTCTTTTGAAAATTTATTTGTGAATTTAATCTTAACATTTTTTTTTCTTTAGGTTTCCTATTGTTCTATATTAATATATTATTTTTATCTAACTAATTTTATTCTTATTTCTGATTATGTAGATATAGATTATATACATAGAAATATTTTTAAATTCATCTCTGTTTTATTAGCAATGTTATAGAATTTAAATAATAATTTTAAAACAGTAGGTATATTATTAAAAAATGTAAAAATAATTAAGTACTCATGTTCTATTTTCAAGAGTTACATTAAGTTCAATTTTTTATGATCAAAATCATTCTAATTTTGGATTTAAATTACTGCAAATTTGCATGTTAACATACGAGCAAAAAAATAGCGTCATAGTTGGCTTGAAAATGAAGATCGCTGTCATTTTATATGTAAAATTATACGGGGAATGACAACGCGTTTTTTCATCCGTTTTCATCATACGGTATTCTTTTTCCTTAGAATAGTTACTGCAGTTTCACTGCAGGCAATTTTTGAGGTCTTTGGACGAAATATTCCGGGCTATATGTAAATTTTTTCTCTACATCTACGTATTTGCAGATATTCACATAATTCATAGGGTGTAAAATCTCTTGCTTTCTAACCCTATACTAATTATAAAGATCTAAATTTAGAAAATATTATAATTGTATAAATAAATAAAAAATTATTATAACTAAGTTGAATTGAAGTTTAAATTGAAAATTAAAAATATACCGAGTGCGTCTCAAAAGTGGCTCACCCCTAAGTATAACTTTTTTATTTTGTCAGATAATAAAACGAGATTTGGTATGTTAGTATATGAAATAAATTAGGATTGATTGACGTATTCAATTGTTTCGGTCACTTCCTGTTTCACCGGAATAATGACTACAACTTTGGATTTTTAAATGGCACCATCGGAATTTTTTTGCTTTAATTGATAGAAAATGACACTCTGAATAAAATGACATCATATGTCAACTTTTGACATTTTCGAATATGGTTTATGTGAAACTGCAACATGCATAGCGACAATTTGTCTAGAAATACCAAGTGTGAGGTACCAAATTATTGGTAAAAAGTGCTTTTTCTAAACATGCTAATGAGCCGCCCAGGACAAGACACTAAAAACATTAGACTATCAAATCTATTTTTTCAAGGCTCCTTGATTAAAAATTAGCGTTTTTAACACAGCCATGGCACTCTAGATTGAAATTTAAAATACAATTTTGTTTTAAGCCAAAAAATACAGAGGATACCATTTAAAAATCAAAAGTTGTAGTCATTTGCGGTGAAACAGGAAGTGATCAAAAACCACTAAATACGTCAATCAGTCCTAATCATATACTAACATATCAAATCTCGTTTTTTTATCTGAAAAAATAAAAAAGTTATAGGAGTGAACCATTTTTGAGACGCACTCGGTATATAGAAATTGAATTTGATACTTTGTTATAGTGGATTCAAAAATGACTTGCTTCTGCATAAGCCATTTTAAATAGGCGGTCCTAAATTTTTAAGAACAACTATAATTTTATCTCACAAGTATTTCATCATACTCATAATTTGATTAAATATAAATAATTAATTTTATTAAATACGAGAATATTGTCTTTGAAAAATAATTTAATCCAGATAGTTTAAAATATTTTGCATATCTAAGTTCCTTGCCAAAAGCTCTCAGTTCGCTACACAATAGAATGTATATTTTTATCTAAATAGCACATGAAGATAGCAAAAAAAACAAGATGTCGAAACGGCGTTGCATGAGAAAGAGATTTTTTTTTCTAAATACAACTATCTTTGAGCAACTTGAAACCATAAGATTTTTACAATTTTTTAGGATGAATTTTACATTTATATTTCATATTTAATTTTAAATAAATCATTTGCTTCAAAAGAATAACTTCAAATGGTGTTTACAAGAAACAAGTTACTGAAATTATTTTTTTAAAAGTAGTTTAAAGCAATAAAAAAAGTATAAACTATATATTGTTAATGTTTGGTAATAATTAAATATAAATAATGTTTAATTAATTGTCAAGCTTTAAATATTATTCTTTTAAATAATGTCTACACTTTTGTGACGGGTTCATTTCTTGAAAGGAATTTTGTTTTTAATAAAAAAGTATTTTTTTTTGTAAACATCACTGCGTTGATCCAACGGAGAAATTTGTCAGTGGCATTTTAATAGTAAAACAAATTTGCTTAACCAGTGTAGTAACCAGACAAAAAGTGAATAACGTTTCAGAAGGTATATCTCCTCCTGGTCACCAGCAAACAAAACACAAAAATCAAAGAAAAAACTACTTAAAGTATCTAAATGCAACTAATCAAGAACACTTTAATTTTTTTAGTATATACGTCTATTATAAACTCTTGACGTCCTCAATTTCAACAGTCGTTATTTTTCTAATGGTACCCTTTTTGATTATTTAAAGTACGCCTTAGTGTGTCTAAATTCAACTTTTAAAAGTGACAACATCAAGAATCTAATAAACATAAAGTCTAAATGTAAACAGTTTAATTATTGATTTAACATCATAATATTATATTTTTTTTTCAAGAAAAGGCATATTGGTGTCACATTTAATATATCAGTACTTATTTATGATTTTAAACTATACCAATAAAAGTAGCGTACAGTATTTGTGAATAATTGGTCTTTAATACACTTGGTGTGATTTTTTTTACCTGAAGTCACTTATAAAAAAAACAACCTCCAAAAACAGACTCCCCAAACACAAAATCGTAAAAAAAATTCTACGAAAATGCATCTTCTCTTTTTTCCTACTTTAGAATAATTGAAATCCGTAACATGAAAGCATGTTTCTGCTTTACATTCTAAGCACTTTTCTTGTCTAGATATGAACTTGACCTAGTAGAACTGTAATTTAGCTATCAATACCGTACCGAGAAAAAAAAGGAAATAAACAAAAACGAACCAACAAACCAAACCAAAGCAATTGAAACACGCTTAAGCTAAAACGCTCCTGTTTGCGAATGCCAATTGCCGAGTGCTTTTGAAATCTTGCTATAAGCATTTTACAATATTTTATGAATAAATGAAAATGGTACACTCTTCCGCAAGAAGTTTTTTGCGTGTCTCTGTTATGTTTAGAAAAATTCCTAGAATGAAAATCAGAAACGTGCTTTCATGTACCTGGCTATTCTAAAGTTGAAAAACTGAAAATGATGCATTTGGGCATAAGCCATTTGCATTAAGAAATTTTTTTGGTGATTTTCATTTGGAAAATATTAAATAAACAAATATTTCTTACATAACTGATTTCAGCTAAACTACAGTAGCCCTGGTTTCAGTTATTATAAAGTTGAAAAACTCAAAAAGGCTGCATTTCCGCAGAAAAATGTTTGTGACATATTATTGGCAAAGGCTCGGGAAAAGGCCCTTCCAAATACTAAATAAATAAATAAATATTTTTTATATAACTGATTTCAGCTAAACGAAAGTTACCCAACCCAAACCAACAGTTGCTCTAGTTTGATAATTGCACTCTGGTATCGTGCTCAAAAAATCGCACGATTTAAATACCTTAATATCCACTTACACCTTAGCATACTATTTTCTGTACATAGTAGCTTTAAAATGCAATACTTTAAATAGAGACTAAAACACAATTTTATTTGCAAATCTATCATTATTTTCTAGGCAATCTCAGTCCTCTTCGCAGTCTTGGCCGTGGCCAATGCAGGCGTAGTAGTAGCTCCTTCATCCTCCAAAATCATTCAAGGACCTAGCACAAGGACCACTGTCGTCGGGCCTGATGGAAGCTCCATCTCCTCCGTTTCTCCAGGAGGCTCAATCATCAAGGAAGAAACACCCGGAATCATCGCTGAAACTGCACCAGCTGTAGCGGCCGCTCCTTTAGCTTACTCGGCACCACTTGCTTACTCAGCTCCTATTTCTTACGCTGCACCTATCGCTTATGCTGCTGCCCACGGTGCTCATGTGGTGACATCTTATTCTGCACCTTTCGGTTACCATGCACCTTTGGCTTACTCTGCTGGACCGTTGGCGTACTCTGCTGGTGTAGTAGCTGAGAAGCAGCTGGATACTGTCGTGTCTGGACCATCTGGTACGATCTCTACAAGCAAGACTGTCCATACTCCCGCATACGTAGCTGCTGCTCCCCAGTACTACCGTGCCGCCTATTACGTTTAAGTGAATGGAATGATTCGATAATTTATTTCTGTTAGTTTGTAAGGTTAAAAAAGGAAAATTACAATAAAAGAATCAGAACATAATAATATATAATCGTTTTATTTTAAACACATTAACTTCTTCGCTCAATGCTCAAATGGATCAAATACTCGTATTGCCTACAGTTTTTGATTAAAGCAAAATAACGAAACTGTTATTATGTTTAGTCTTATTTTATATATTTTATATTCCAATTCTTAAATATTTCAGACTGTGATGAGTCCAGTAACAGTCAGTAAAAAAATGTCACAATAAATTTTGAATTCCAGTTGCTCTTTAAGAACAAAATATGTAAATATTAAATGTCTAAGAACACAATATGTAAAAACCTGAAGTTAATACAAAACATCAAATTAACAATTGCAACCTGATCAGTATCAGCTAATGAGGTAAAACCAAAAATCTCAATTTTTCTCAATATACATATATATTTTTTTTCCTAATTTTTATCCAAACCAAACCAAACCAAACTTTATTTGATAGAAAATGACACTTTAAATAGAATAACATATCATATGTTAACTTTTGACATATTCGCTTAAAGCAAAATTGTATTTTAAATTTCAATCTAGAGTGTCATGGCTGTGCTAAAAACACTAATTTTTAATCAAGGAGCCTTGGTAAAGTAGGTTTGATCATATAATATTTTTAGTGTTTTGTCCTGGCTGGTTAAAAGGTTTCCAAATCGTATTTTTAATCATATCTCAATTTTTTGAAATGGAACGGGGAGGCTCATTAGCTCACTTAGAAAAAGCAAATTTTTACGAATAATTTTGTACCACACAGTTGGTATTTCGAGTCAAATTGTCGTTATGAATCGCATGTTGCAATTTGAAATAAACCATATGCGAAAATGTCAAAAGTTGACATATGATATATCATTCTAACCAGAGTGTCATTTTCTATCGAATAAAGTAACAACACACCGAAAGTGCTATTTAAAAATCAAAAGTTGTAGTTATCTCCGATGAAACAGGAAGTGGTAGAAAAAAAATTAATACGTCAATCAATCCTAATTTCTGTAATGTACTAACATACCAAATCTCGATTTTTTATCTGAAAAAATAAAGTAGTTATAGGGGTGAGCCACTTTTGAGACGCACCCGGTATAGAGATGCCTGAGTAATAAATTATTTATATTATATATTTTACACTAGCGCGTACCAGCGACTTCGTTCGCGTCGAATTAATCAATTGTAATGGTGATGATAAAGCAAAGCAAGAATTTCCATTAACCTACAAACTGGATAAAATTTTCTCACATATATATCAGCATGAGAAAAAACAATATGGCGATATTATTATATAACTTGGTAATATTTGAGGGGTAGTTTCATCTCGTTGGAGTTTGACTTTCGAAAAATCCGTTTGCCAAAAATAAGCTTTTTACGTCAAGCAGTTTAAGCAGAATCGTGGTTAAGAAATTACACAACTTTATAGATCACCCTGTATGGTTTTTGAAAAAATTTCAAAATATGTAAAAAAACCAAATAAATTAAGCTTGTCCAAGCGTTTTCCCGAAAGACTAACCGTTTTTTAGATAACAAATATTGTAATATTTGAGGGGCGTTTTCACCCTCTTGGAATTTGAGATTCGAGAAACCCCTCCTGATCGAACCTCTACACCCCACAGTCAATCCGTTTGCCAAAAATCAGCTTTAAACGTCAAGCAGTTTAAGCAGAATCGTGATTACTCAATGGTCATATTTTATGAAACACCCTGTATAAATTTATAAATAATCTTAAAATATGTAAAACAACAAAATAAAATATACATGTTTAAGAGTTTTTCCGAAAAACTCACTCAAATAAAAATATTTTAATATTTGAGGGATAGTTTCACCCCCTTAGAATTTGAGTTTCGAAAAATCCCTTCTTATCGAACCTCTACACTCTAAAGTCAATCTGTTTTCCAAAAATCAGTTTTTTACGTCAAGCGCCTTAAGCAGGATCGTGATTAATCAATAAGCAGATTTTTCGAAACACCCTGTATATATTTTTAAAACATCTTAAAATATGTAAAAAAACAAAATAAAATATATGTGCTTAAGCGTTTTTTCGGAAACTTGATCGTTTTTTAAATAAAAAATATTGTAATATTTGACACTGGAATTTTGAAAAATCCCTTCTTATCGAACCTCTACATCCTAGAATCAACCTGTATGCCAAAATTGAGCTTTTTACGTTGAGTGGTTTGAGCATATATTAGTATAGACTAGAACATTTAAAGGTGTAGACATTTCACCAATATAATTTCCGGCATTCATATTATAGTATTTTGTATTTTACATTTTTGCTTTTCGTTCAGTAATCATTTGGCTTCGTGCGGGTGAAGAGTCAAGATGGCTCTTCAGTGTATTTTGTGTTTTGAAGGATTATAGTGAAAAGGGAAAACCTCTGGGCTAAACCCTAGGCACTCCAGGATCAATTGCTAGTTCGGTACTGGGTGTAGACATGCTTTTTTTATTATGTCACTATTACAGGTCTATAGTATATATCCAACTGAATGATCCCAAATATTTGTTTCTGGCATTTTTTGGATATCGTCTATCGAAGTCGTTGGCCAGACCATACAGTAAAAAGATCTATGTATTCAGTTTTTAGCAGATCAGCACTTCACCTCTAAAGAAAATGCAGATTACTGTTAATGGTTCCTTGCTGTATTAGTCCACAGTAAAGACATAAAAATTAAGATCATTCAAAATTAGAGTTAGGTAGAAATGGCAAGTAAAAGCTGTATTTTTTCAAAATATACATTTCATTTATCCTTTTATTATACTTAACTTATATAACTTTATTATACTTATTATACTACTTCTCACGGCAAATTCCTGTTACTGAATGATCTAGAAAACACGTAGAAGCACTTAATTTATAGATTGCACAGATACTTAATAAATAAGAATGTACCTGTTTAAAAAAAAAAAACGTCGTCGTTATAATACTAAGACACTAAATGAATCATAACGATATAACGATTCTTTGTTTATGTGTATCATAAAAAAATCCTCAAGTCATGGCTAATAAAGCACAATTTGGCGAGTAGCGTGAAGGAACGTTGCAAAAAAGCTCTGTACGCTCACTTGGTACATTACGATCGGTTTTCGGACCGCGGAAAATAATATTTTAAGGAAAAAAAAACAACTTGGTAGTTTAGGGCGTAGGTACCTACTTTGGATCGGGCAACACGCGGAACTTTGCTTCAGTTCGTTGTAATGGCAAAAAAATCGGACAGGAGCAAGGACGCGAAGAAACCGCGTATAAATATTGTTATTTTTCGGAATTGCTATCAGTTGATTGTTATTATTAACCATGAACACCTACGTAAGTACTGAAGCTAGCTAAATTTTTGATTTTAAGTATAATATCCTCGTACATTCTAAGTCAGCTGTGTAGTTTTCTTTTTCATTTCCTCTTTACGTTATCTAATTATTTTTTTAATAACTTGGTATTTAATTATATACTCCCCGGCACAAAATTCCGCCACCCTAAAAATTTTACTATGTTTGATGTTTTATAACTTTTTATTTTGTAAACCGATTTTTATGATTATGGCATCAGTGTGAAGGCAAATTTATTGGCATTATTTTTTATTATTTTAATGGCTTATATTCTTCTATTAGGTGGGTTTATAGCAAGGTAAATCAAAACGTTGTTTTTTGCATACCCTGTGGAAAAAATGAGACGGGCATTGAATTTGAATTTGAATTCCTAACATTTCATTTTTTTAATTATCTCATTATCTATATTCTTTTATGAGCCACACATTTTGTTTAAGTAAAGAGTAAGTAAACAAAAAACTTTTATTCAGAGATTCTTTTATTGACAAAAACAATAATTTTAATAGCGTGCATATCCACCTCTCGCAGCAATAGCAGCGCCAGGTTTTCGTCGTATCGAATAAATAAGGGTAGTATTCTTTCTTGATCTATAGCTTGATAAGTATTAAGCTATAGATCAAGTATCCCAAGAAATCCCTTTACAAGAGCTAAGGCTAACATTAACGGAGGAATCTCCATTAATTTCCTCCGTAAGATTCCTCCGTTAATGCTAGCCATAGTTTTTGTAAAGTTTGTGGTGGAAATGGACGACGACGAATAGCCCTTTTAAGTTCATCGCACAGATGTTCAATTTGATTGAGGTCGGGACTACAAGGAGGCCATTCTAATCTTCATCTAACCTCATTCAGGTACTCGTTATCTACTCGTACTCCTAACTCGTTACCCTGCGCAACGTGGGGCCTGATATTATCATGCTTGAGTATAAACTGATTTCCAACGAAAGAAGAAAATGGAACGACAACTTCTTGGAGGACATCCTCAATATAACGGTGGGCATTGAGAGCTCCATTTTCAACTAATTCAAGATTGTAAAAATATCAGTACTTCATTTAAAAATGTGTAGCTCATAAAAGAATAGAGATAATAAGATAATTCAAAAAACGAAATGTTAGGTGTTAATACATCTAATATTACAGGAAATTGTTTTTTTATCCAAAATGTCCGCTCCATTTTCTCCACAGGGTGGTTTGAATTTATAGCAAAAAACGAAGTTTTGATTTACCCCGGTATAAAGCTACCTAACCGAAATATACAGGGTGGTCCAAACTGTATTCCGGAAACTTCGGCAGCATATTCCGTAGATAAAAATAAGTAAAAAAGTTCGTATAAATGTATGTCCTAAAATGCTTAGTTTCTAAGATACAGGGTGTAGAAGTTTCATTTTTATTTCGATTTTTTCCAAATAATTTCTGAAGTAACATCAATATTTGGATTAAAATTGGTGGATAAGTGTTTTTTGACATGATAAATTTGATTTTGATGTTAATATGACTCCCATTTGTAGATGGCGCCATCTACATGTGTTTTAACTGTAATAACTTTTCGTCGGTACCTATAAAAATCTACTGATTAAAAAATATACATTTACGACTTGTTCTACATAAAAAAGGTCTCTTGGTAAAAATCGCTACGAGTAATGGTTCTCGAGATGTTTGGAATCGAAATTATCAATACCTATCATCATTGACATAAATTGAACATGTTGACTAAATAGTTATTAGACTGAAATCATAAATTTGAAATCTTTTTGTGTCAAAAGTTCAAAAAAAAACTATTTAATCATAATTTTACACAGAAAAACTTATGATTAATTTAAAAAAAATAAGAATTTATTATTTCAGTCAAATAACTATATCAAAGTGTGCTTATCTTTTGTCAATAATGACATGTATTGACTATTTCCATTCTAAATATATTGAGAACGGTTGCTCGTAGCGATTTTTACCAAGAGACATTTTTTACATAAAAAGTCATGAAAATGTATATTTTTTTAGTCAGTGGTTTTATACAGGTACGGTCGAAAAGTTATTACTCTTCAAAACGGTTAAAACATATGTAGGTGGCGCCCCCTACAAATAGTAGTAATTTTGACATCAAAATCAAATTTCTCGTGTCACAAAACTCCCAGATACCAATTTTCATCCAAATATTGACGTTACTTAACAAATTATTTAGAAAAACTCGAAATAAAAATGAAACTTCTACACCCTGCATTTCTGTAACTAAGTATTTTAGGACATACATTTATACGAACTTTTTTACTTATTTTGATCTGTAGAATATGCTGCCGGAGTTTCCGGAATACAGTTCGGACTACCCTGTATAAGCCATTAAATAATAAAAAATAAAGCTCACAATTTTTTTTACGAACTAATATAACATAATCATAAAAACCGGATTACAAATTCAAAAGTTATGAAACATCAAACTTAGTCAAAATTTTAGGATGGCGGAATTTTGTGCTTATATTTATATTATATTAAATTCATATTTTTTGGAACATCATTAGTGTTTTAGTGGAATTTCTAAAAAATGCCAAAAATATTGTTTTATTAATTGATGAAACTACACACACATCCAACTGCCAACAGTAAAGCCATTTAAATTAAGTAAGTTATCCAAAGGACTTGTCCGTTATATAAGATAATTCTGTCTTATGACCAAAAATAAACGCCACTATATCATTATACAACAGTTTATAAAGATTTAAGCATTTTAATAACTTTTTTACTTCCCTAATTTTAGGCTTTTATCACTTTCTTCGCCTTCGTTGCTGCCGCCAACGCTGGCTACTACCCATCAGCAAAAATTCTCCAAGGACCCAGCTCCAAAACCACAATCGTCGGCCCCGACGGTAGCGCCATCTCCGCTGTGGCTCCTGGAGGCTCCATCATCCACGAAGAACATCCTGGTTACATCGCTCACTCAGCTCCTCTTGCCCACCATGCTCCTCTGGCTTATGCTGCTCACGCACCAGTAGTGGCTCCTCTGGCATATGTTGCTCATGCTCCAGTGGTAGCTCAACACGCTCCAGTTGTAGCACAGGCCTACGCAGCTCCCATTGCTTTGGGTCATGAAACTCATATTTCCAAATACGGAACTCACATCACTCACGGAGCACCTGCAGTATACAGCTCTGTGGTGGAACCTGTCGCTTATGCCAGCCATGGACTTTACAGTAGTCAACATCATCATGGTTTATATGCTGGACATCAAGGATTATATGCTGGACATCAAGGACTATATCTTTAATTTTGATATTTTTAGAAAATAAAATAGGCTTTAATAGGTAAATAGGTAGTAAATTATATGTGTACATGTCATAATAAAATAAGAGAATCAAACACATTGATGTAAAATAAACAAGTCTGTAATATATATTAAATTGTTCTTATTACATACATCTCCATATTACTATTTTTCTTTTTTGATTTTCTAGTGCTATTAAGACAGCTGTTATTACAAAACTGGTAATAAAATTAAATGTGAGGACTGTTTCTACCTTTATGGCAGGTACATTGCACTGAATTTTTCGGGATTATGATAATAAATAAAAAACGAACAAAATTTAAATAAAAATGTAAAAAGAAGAATCAACATTCTTCTATGATCATATATACAGAATGAGTACAAATATTTTTAGGGCTGGTAGATCTCGATAAGAGAATATATATGGGGAAATTAAAATAACTTTCGTTGCACATCATAATACAACCACCAGAAAACTCCATAAGACGACACATGGTGTCATTGATGACGTGCAACGAAAGTTGTTTTAATTTCCCATTCTTTTCGTTCTTCAAATAGGTTCAAAATAGCCGATTTATTTTACATCGAAAAGTTAAAAATTATATGATTTTTGAGCCCGTTCAGATGGTTTTGAGAACGACTGGATTTTTTCTGTTTTTGAAAAAAAAAATTCTAGAAATTTCTCCAATTTTATTAGAATATAATACAATAATTTATTTTTCACAAAAAAAAACTCATAGACCGTTCCTGGGATCGAAATATACTATTCCCTAAAAATATTTGCATTTATACCACCGCACCGTACGCATGACCCATCCTGTATAGTTTTCTACAGCATTTGACATCAATTCTATTAACATAATTGACAGCATTTTTTTCATTGAACACCTCGATAACAATCATATCTGTTACTTAATTTTTCAAATTCCCCCTTTTTTATTAAAACAAAAATTATGTAGTATTTTTTATAATGATAATTTTAAGGATAAGTTCAGGCACGTAGAAGATCGAAATGTTTTACATAAAATAATCTTTAAATCAAGAAAAAATAATTAATGTTACGTGAGCTCTATAACATTAATATTTAAACAATGCGTTGTCAGAAAACCTACACAACTTATATATACAGGGTGGGTCAATGGAAACTTTCTACCCCAATTTTTCTCGTTTAAAATTAAAATTTGGAAAAACGCTCGAACACGTCGATTTAGTTTTCGAGGGGGAAAAGAAAATATCATAAAATCACTTTCACACCTACAACCTCCAAGGCGGGGGCGGTGCCACCCCTAAATTCTTAAATAGAAAGGGGGGCCGAGTGATACCTCATGTGAAAGGTCTTTCAATTCCCTGTTTAATGATATAAGATATCATGTACTTTCGTTCAGTAGTTTTAGAGATTTATTGATTTAAAGTAGATTTTTTAATTTATCAGCTAAGTGGTGAAAAAATCGGTTTTTATTTTTTTTTCCTCTGTATGTATTTTTTTGGCAAACTATGTATACTAAAAATTTTTCAACCCGTGCCCAGGCGTTTTTCCAAATTTTAATTTTAAACGAGAAAAATTGGGGTGGAAAGTTTCCATGGCCCACCCTGTATAGGTATATTACTTAGCTAGTCGAATTTATTTGGATAAAATACCTAAAAATTTATAAATATTGAACCCTGATTTCTATAGGATATATAGGATTTTATTTTATTCCATCTATAATAAATTAATAAATACCTAATATTACCTATACCGGGTGCGTCTCAAAAGTGGCTCACCTTTATAATTTTTTTATTTTTTCACATAAAAAAGGAGATTTGGTATGTATATGACATAAATAAGGATTGATTGACCTATTCAATTGTTTTCTATCACTTCTTCTTTCACCGGAAATTACTACTTTTGATTTATAAATTGCACCCTCGCTATTTTTCTAATTTATTCGATAAAAAATGACACTCTGAATAGAATGACAGTTAAAACACTAATCTTTAAGCATACGGAGCTTTTAAAAAATATATTTGATCGTCTAATGTTTTTCGTATCTTGTCCTGGCCGTCTAAAAGTGGCCCAAATTGTATTTTTAATCATATCCCAATTTTTTCAAGAGAGCATTTCTTACGAATAATTTTGTACCACTCACTTGATATTTCCAGTCAAATTGTCTTTATGAAATAAAGGAAATATTGTCTATTTCAAATAAACCATATTATGTAAAAATGTCAAAAGTTGACATATGATATGTTATTCTAATTAGAGTGTTATTTTCTATCAAATAAATTTAAAAAAAAAATATGTATAGGGTGTCATTTAAAAATCAAAAGTTGTAGTCATTTCCGGTAAAAAAAATTGAATGCGTCAATAAATCCTGCTTTATGTCATATAGTAACATACCATATCGTTTTTATAACTGAAAAAGTAAAAAAGGTAAAGGGGTGAGCCACTTTTGAGAAACACCCGGTATACCCTGCTTGAGATTCAAGAGGTGGCGGCTAGAGAAAGCAGTGGTTTGTTATCAGAAAAATCAAAGATGCTCTATATGGAGTTTACATAAAATAAAGATTAGTTATTAATCTAGTTTTGTTGTTTATATATTATCATTATTTATCTAGCGATAGAAATATTAATACCAGACGAATGAGGTAAATAAAAAGGATTTCTGAGCTAATTATTAACTAATTGTTACAACAAAGACAATTTAAAATTTTTAATTATTTCTTGTCCTTTAAAAAATACTTAACCAAACACTATTACAATCTAATTCGAGGAATAAATTCAACTCGATAGTCTTTCTTCAATAAAGTGGTAATACTCTAAATGGAATTGAAATTTTTTTTAAACTTGTTTAATTACTTTGGCGGAAAATAGTCTACACTGCTGTTTTACCCGTTTTTTCAATATTTACCCCAATTTTTAAAAGAATAAAAATTTTAAATTCGGCACGTTCATGTAACTTGATGCACACTTTATAAAGAGCCATAAAAAAATAAGGTTAAATATTTATAAGAAAATGTCCCCGTTTTAAGCTGTAAGTAAACCTAGACGTTTCTAAAATATCCGGTGTTACGATGATATTTCGTTAACTATATCTCGATTTATGTTGATATAGAGGGTGTTTCAAATAACATGTGCCATCTCTTGTGGGGTGATTCCTCACGTAAAAATAAGATTTATTTTTCATATCAACATAGGTCCGATTCTGCTTTGTTTCGTAGCTTCAGGGTGTTAAAATAAGTATTCATATTTTTTCGATTTATTATAATTTATTAATTTACGTAGTACAATAAAGTATTACCCTGTATTTTATTTGATTTTTGGATTCTTGAACATAAAATAAAGAATTTATTATAAGGGTTTAATATGTTTAAAAGCTTTAGTTTTTGAGATATTTGAAGATATTTAAATATGCATGGTATAATAAAAACGTTTGTCAACACCCTGTACATTACTTTTCAGAGTTAATTCTTGTGCTGACTTTGAAGCCAGTGAAATAAACTTTACTAAAAAATGTATTGCTTTCTTAAATGTATACAGGGGTATCAAAAATTGCGAACACCACCAGGGGTGGATGGGGTGATATGGGAAAACGGGAAAATTCCCGGTGGGCCGGTGGCCCGGTGCCGATCAGAGCTCAAAAAATATTGATTTAGCAAAAAGTACATGGTTAATCTTCTAACTAAAGTTACGTAAGATTCTTAGTGACTGCCTAACTAACTAATAAATTTGCATCAATATAATCGTCAGTTGCTTTTAAACATAAACACCAATTTGTAAAATAACTATTGTGAGATGTCTTTCTCTGAGACACTTATAATTTTAATAAACATCTGTTGTTTGTTGTTCCATTTGAAATGTTTTATTATGCAAGGTGAGTCTATAAGTGCACCTTATTTGTGCTGCTTTGTGCAAATATTTTCAGGGCTGGTAGATATGAATAAAAGAAACATAATATATTTTCTTTACCGTGTTTCAAATAAGTCCAAAATAACCGAGTTATTAAAAATTTTACTAAAAATTAGTGAGACAGAGAGAAGAGTTAAATGAGATTTAAACTAGATTAGATAAGAAAATATTAATTTGTCTCCAAAATCCAAATATTCTTATTACCGGACCGTAACATAGCATCTATCTCAGAACACATTTATATCCACTGCTTAGGTATCGCCTAGGTTTTTTTTCGTTTGAGTCATGGCATTATCATACAAGATGCCAAATGTAGAAACGAGGAAAAGCTACGTGATGAGAATTATACCAAAATTAAAACACGTGTACTACATGACGAGGCTGCTGCTGTACCAGAAAAGAGAGAATTTCTTTTCACAATCTGTAAGAAAGTTATATAATATATAACTGAAAAGCTAAAAATAATGTATTTCACAGAGGATTGGGCCAGCTGAACTGAATGAATCAGGAAGTCTTAAAGTTTCTCAAAATGATGATCAAATTACTGTTACCAATAATGGAAATAAAACAGTAGAACCCTGTGAAACTAAGCTATTTTCTAGTAAAAATTCAGATGTCCGACCCGATATTGATCTTTATAAAAATTTTGATCAAGACAATTTCAATATTTTTAAAAAATCGGAGGGAAAAGAGATTTTTTTCGCTTGAGCGAAAATCACCCCAAATAAGGGTGACCCTTATCCACGGTGTCCCAGAAATAAGTGCAGGTATTTTAAGGGGGGTAGATTTGGTCAAAAGAAACGTTTTTTCTTTTTACCGTTTTTCAAGTAAGTCCAAAATAACCGATTTATTCTACTTTGAAAATTTAAACAAAAAATACTTTTTTGCTTAAATTTTGAGAACCACTGGATCTTTTCTGGATTTTCTGTCATGTAAATTTAATCTACAACCTATGTTGCCAGATTATCAAGAAATTATGTTTTTTAACTTAAAACTAAAAACATTTCCAATTTTTTTTTCAAAAAATTCCAAATTTTCGCAAAAAAAATGATAGGTAGGCGTGTTTCTGAGGCCGAAATATACTACCAGTTAAAATAATTGCACTTATTTCTGGGACACCCTGTATATTAAATAAATAAAATATGCTTCTTCGTTATGGTCATTTTGTTTTTGTGGATTCGGGCCGGTTGCCTGTTATTCCCGGGCTGGTTTCCACTTCCCCATCCACCCCTGAACACCA